TTTACTAGCTAGGGCCAATCTATGGGCAAAAAATGAGCAAAATCGATTTTTCGACTTGTGCCGTTGTTTGGTCCATAATTATGGGCACTGGCTCTTAAATGACATAAATTTATCTACAATCCTGGTCACAAGTGTTGGGACAGTTCACAGCAGATGACTTCACGGGAAGCCTCTCTTAAGACCAAGACCACGTAAGCCCGCCTGCCCCCTCCCCCTGTCAATGTTAATAAAAATCTTGAAAAAAAAAAACCCTTGACAATAGCTTCAGAATAGCCACGTTTCAAGAACTGTTCACCTCCTAGGACAGTATTCTCTGACTAAAGTGACGATAGGATAGATATTCACATCTTATTCCAATAATAACAATTTTATTTTTCAGCAATCATGTTCAGTTCCAACACAACTGTCTAATAACTTTCTACTGCCTCTTTTTCCTTTTTAACCACATCTGATCTAGTCTTCAGAATAGCTTCATTTTCTTTGAACATTGCTAGGGGGGAGGGGGTCAATTACACTTGCTTCTATTCATCTTTTCCTAAAACGTCAAGGATGTAGTTGAAATCATGGGTTTTAGCATGCAAAAGGGGAGGTGTCCCAACAACTTATGGTCAGGATTGCAGCAGCAATTTTAATGCATCAGTCACAAAAGCTGCATAAATATATGTCGCAGTCCAACAAACATTGAAAGTTTGAATCAAGTTGCAGTTTCTACTGTATTCATTTCAAAAATAAAATATTGAAACACAGAATGATATCAAATTTCCAATGAGAGAAGAGTGCAAGGGAAACCAATTTTAAGGCTTGACTTGCTAATCCAAAAGTCATTCTCACTAGTTCCCCAAAATGTCTCACTACTGGGAGATTCACAAAATTAAATCTTTTGTACATGATACTTAATTCTAAAATTTGAAATTCTTCAAACATTGTCCCAAAAAAATTTCACTCGCCCATCACGCTGGCAAGCAAAAAATAAAATTACCCACCAGCCCAACTACAAATCCCACTCACACTATGAGAGGAATGCTTGACCAGTTTTTTAACTGTTATATCACAGGAGAAAAAGAAAATGTTTATTTACATTTTGAGTTCTTTTACACTGCATATTTACATCAGCCCATGGGAACACAAAATTCTCATTTTTATTTTCTACTTCCTCAATAAACCACCCCTTCATTACTCTAGGCCTAGTCTAAATGTCCTGCTACTGCCATGTCAGACTCAAATGAATTTGCTCCGGTGGTGGCATGACAAAGGAACAGCAGCGGTCTCAAACATCGAATTTTATTCAGTCGTGCTAAAGATCAGAAGAAGTTTGCTTTGCTGAATACCAGCTGAAATGCTAGAAAGCAATGGCAGCTTTAAGCAGCAGGTTATGAATTCAGTTTGGCATAGCAAGAGCACGCTGTTTGAAGCCGAGTCACACTACTGCTGTCAAGCATGGCAAGGCCTGTCATGCTAAGTACTCATGCCAAATTTAATTCCGCCTGCCAAATTGAGTGGTTTCAAACATTGTGCTAATTCTTGAATCTAGTTTGGCACGGCAGTAGTACGACATTTGGAATAAGCCTAATTAATGCACTTTGTCTGTGCCCAGTTTAGAAAAGCTTGGTTGAGCCATTCTTGCCAGGTAAAAGAAGAAATGATATCACAAATAATACTTATTTCCACAGAAACAAGATGAGACTCAAATAATTTTAATCCAACAAATATTAAAATGATGTAATATGTAAATCGCAGTCTGCTGCAAAAAATTGCCTATCTTCATGACTCAACTGAGTCTAAGACCATTCAGCTAATTGATAAAAGATGAATCAATAGTTGAAGTGTCTCAATAACATTATTGATGAGAATCAGATGATAAATGGGTAATAAAATATGACAGCAAAAGTGAAAGTTGAAGTTATGTTTTCTAGTATTATTTTATTTGATTCCTACTTTCATGTTTTAGAATATATTTATGCTCTTTTGACGGAACATTTCAAAAATGTAAATATTGGCGAAGAGTCCATTTTCTGAAAATTTAAGTATTTTTCCAGTATTCATTAGCGTTTTTTACAACTTTTTGCCACGTTTGAGAACGACATTTAGTAAATTTAAACGCTGTTTACGAGATTCTATAAAAACCCATTTGTTAAGTTCAATTCATTTCGTCACCCTAGTCATCTGTTATTGTTGATTTCAATGCCGGATTTTTATGTATTTAGCCTCCTTACAACTCAGATTAAAGCGTGCAATAAACTAAAAAAAAATATTATTTAAAAATTCTAAAGCTTTTCTAAGTCGCCATAATTTCTCATTCTCAGTGGAAAATTTAATAAGAAAATACTCTCTAGCATTTTATTTTGGAGGGACCAACACAATAAGAGACTGGCGATATCGTTGATGGCTATAAACTCAAGCCAGTCAAGGCAGAACACGAAAAGACAAGAGGACAAAATGTAAACAAAGATCTTGACAATCACTGACAATGTATGCAAGCGCTTACTCAGCCGGCCAGTATCATCTTGATTTGTATAAACGGACAGAATTTTCCCGCGTCACCGTTGACTCGAATAAATAGCAAAGCTAGCGAAATGCTATAAATAGAAGAAGCCATAATACCAATTCAGACCGATGACTTCAACCTGTTCAAACAATAAAATTAAATCTCCGTATTTTGAGAAAAAGCCCGATGTTCATGAAAGATCAAATATTCAAACACAGTACTCACATAGCCCGGACACTGCGCCCCAAAATCGCACCACAAGTCTCAATCCTTTTGGAACACCACCGGTGTTTGTGTCACTGTCTGCCATACTTCAAACAGAAAATGTATTTCAATAGCGGAATGATATAGTCCAGTGAATTCAATTTACATTCTTCAAAGATCCACTTTGATTCAGCTGATTTCCATGACAGAAAGCGCGAATAATGACTGCGTGGATAACACACTCGGACAATGTCGGGAAAACCGAGCTCCTCCCGAAGTTAACACAGCACGAGATTCTCCATGTTTGGTCAATGGCTGTTACCATCGAGTGTTCGGCAAGTAGATGCGCAGTAGTTATCGAAACCTGGTTAATATTTGCGCATGAACGTCAACTTTGTTGTCACGAAGTCTTGTTTTGCAAAATTTTGGAAATGAAAAACAACGGGGAAAGATGAGGGAATTTGAACTTCAGAAGTTGACATCTCGCGGATCTGTTCCTCTAATCTGTATAAAAATTATCAGCTCATCTGGAAAGGAAAGCAATCTGACAGTTAGCGTTACGGACACCGTTAATGCAGTTAAGGATAGAGCACTTGGCGGTGAATATTCGAAGGAATCTCACTTGTATAAACTGCTCCTTGCTAAATCAAATAAGGAATTAATCGACGAAAAAACCCTAGACGAAGAAAATGTCCAAGAAAATGGTAAGTGTACTTCGTTCATGTCGTCTGATTGCTTTTTCAGTGCCTCTAGCCCAATTATAGCTTATCTTAGTTTTCGTGTTTTCTCTTCCAGACGAGTTAATTCTCTTCAGAAAACGTCACAATGCGAGTTGTGATTCCGCCGAAAAAGTAAGAGTTGCCTTTTATTCCTATTTGTTTTAAAGTGCATCGACAGGGGGAACTTATTTTTCAATTTTTTATCACTTCCAGGCGAATACCGCAGGAAATATTTACGTCCCAATTACTATGTACACATTTGTAAAATTAATTAAAATGGACTGATAAACAGAGATTATTTATTTAATTTAGCGTTCTGTTGAATTAAATCGTAGGCTACCTAGCGATTCAATTTTGTTTGCATAAAGCATTTTATCCCTCATTTTGATTTAATTGTTCGATATTCGTGTCAAAATTGGAGGCATCCCTATTGATGGCTGTCAACTATAAACAATAATTAGCTTAATTGTGTTATCTCTGTTCATTCTGATGTTTAAGTTATACATTGACCTTAATAACTTACTGCCATTTTCTTCGGGTTTTACTTTTTTGCATGACTCATTGTGCACGTGACATCCTCCTTTAAATAAATTTAGATGTAACCAATTATTACTAATTGGTTTTTTGCTAAAAACATATAAAGGAGGAAAATTTTATTCACTTACATCAAAATCACAATAGTATACTCTTTGTTTTCTCCAAAACCACACAGGAATGTAAAAATAGCAGTTACCAAGTACCTGATCTGAAGAGTGTCAAGAAATTAACTGCTAAGCTTACTGCAGGAAAGGTGAAGGAGCCTTCAGCCAGCTTGTCTCCTCTTACTTTAGATGTAAGTGTGCAAGTAACAAATCTGAGTTATTGGATATCACAGATATTAACTATTGCTAAAAGTGATAAGCAACTCCTAAACAAATTGGCTGGCTGACAGTTAGCAGACAGTTAGTCGACAGTCTCCTGAGAAATACTGCTAAGATTCTTTTGTTGCTTAGTCATGTCATGCTACATGTATTGGATTTCTGGCATGGTACAAATAGAAAAAAATATTATCAATATTAATAATATAACGCATGCGTATCAGTAAAAAAATTGTTGATGCCCATGCCAACTGCTTTAAACACCTATATAATTGTTTTCAGCAGTTGACATGTCTGAGCGCTACTTAATAAATTATGTGCTAACAATACGTACCAATTTCATCACCTAGTATAAAACATGTGTCTCTAAAGGGCATGTTCAAAACAGGACAATTATGGCAAAATGACAAAATGGCACCACTGTTAAGAGTCAATGCAGGATGCTGTTGTCTCTGAGGTTTAATCCTTGAAATTATTTTGAGCCAACCACTGTCAAGTTACTGGGTTACCAGTAATTGTGTCAGCTATTAAAGTGTTTTATTATTATTATTATTATTATTATTATTATTATTATTATTATTATTATTATTATTATTATGATATATAGCACTATTTAAGCTAACTGGAACACTATTTAGGTTAACTGTGGTGCCATTTTGACATTTCACCATTTCATGTTTTAAACACACCTGCGTATAAAAAGTCTTAACCCCTACAACAGGGTGGTTATTGCCAATCAGATACAACTAAGATAGAATGATCCAAAAGAGTGATTCCCATTGCCCTGTGATGAAGTTCTATTTTTATTAGTTTTGTAACACATGGTACTAATAAGATGTAATATTTATCACAGCTTTCTTTCCTCATACAAGGATGTAGCTATAAGCAAGCACTAAACTAGCTCATTAACGAGTGTAGCCAGCTTTTCTGGCCTCTGCACCTCCAAAAGTATCGCAAGTCTTTGTTTTGGTGTGAAATTTCAGCTGGATTGAAGTTCTTTCTCAGTTGTTGATACTAGCTGGCAGTCACCAGCGGGCCCTTAGCTACCTGAAAGCATCCAGATTTTTTGCATATTCGCATACTACAATTATCAGTTGAGTATGGTGTGACAAAGTTTTGGCCTTAAACTTTCCTCCAATGGTAACAATATCATCGCCTACAATTCCGTGCACTTTGCTGCTAATGACATCAAAGGCGAACAAGTTTCCACTAGAAATGGAGCCAGTTACCCATGACAACAACACAATTTGAACGTTAAAACCTGGTCGCCAAACTTTTGTAGCACCTCACCCAACTGTAGTAGACCTCATTTTAAAACAACAGGTGAAAAACTATATGCTGTCAGAAATCTGCATAATATCATTCAGCTATATAATCAGGTACTTTTTGTTGCCTTTGTCTAGAAAAAAGATTTAAAAAATTTTATGATTGGAAGGGGCTTGTGTGTGGGAAAACCATTCTCCTTGATCATTCTCTCTTGGATGCAGCAATTGCACTGTCACATGTTGCTGTATTAAATGTTGCATATGTCTGTTCAACAAACTAATTATTAAAGTAGAAAAACTGAGGTCAAATTTGTGATGTACTCTTTCGTTATTTTAGTTCAATTCAGAACTTAGAAGAATACTCATCTCCCTGATTGACTCTTCAATTCTTCTGCAATCAGTGACTGCAGGAAAAGATTCTGACAGTTCAGGTACATTTAGATGTAATTTTTGAATTCTTTATTTTTGTATTGCAGTTCCAGAAAACATCCATACTCCCCCCACAGAAGGGATTGGAATTTTCTTAGGGTGGGAGGTGGGGGGTCTCTAAGACCAAAGGGACCAGAGGGGTGTTTATCGGAGGAGGAAGGAGGTATGGATATTTTCTGGAACTACACACCACACTTTGCTGACTATAAACTTGAAGTTGATACATAACTACTGTAACTGAAAAGGTGAGTTAACTGCGATACCCAATATAATACAGGAATCAGCTGCTAAGTGATAACGTGCCCTCCAATAAAGAACAGCGCTGATCATTTTGAAAGCAACAGTCCCTCTTTCAAATGCTTTTCATTGTAGTTCTAACTCTGGTCTGAGCCATTTCTTGGTAGTTCTAGAGTAAACAGGCCATCTGTAGGGTTGTCAAAACTGGCTGGTAGTTGGGGAAAATCACCATCTAGTTCGTGATCTCAGCTACGAGCTCTATTGAGCTATTCTTCTGATTCCTCAAACCAATAGAAATATCAGCCACCTTCTCCAACAATAATGTTTCCTGCTTCAGCACTTTATGGCAAACCTGCATCAGGCAAAGCTGGTACATGGCAAACCTTCCTGCTGATTTCTACCAGAAGTTGCGGGGCATGCTGGGTTAAAAATTGGGGGGAACTAGCTCCAGTCTCCATTATAAAAAAAACACGTGCGGAAAAAATGGCGTCGATTTGTTTTCATTGTTCCTTATGTCGTCCGCCAGGGAGAAATAACCTTTTTTCTCTTACTGAAACTTGAACTCTGGGCTTTAAATAGACTTTCTTATAATTTTAAAAGAGTTAAGCAGGTATACTACTCCCCAGCTTGAAGATAAATCGTTTAAATCACCAGCTCTGACAGAAGTTCGTTCGCGGCCCGGTGTCCTTGTTTCTAAATCAGTTAAGCCGACAACTTTGTTTGTGTTTGAGACTGACTGAGGTACACAGAAGCCTTACATTACTAATAAAATTTTAAAAAAGGTGATGCTAACAGTGTGGTTTTGCTTGAGATAGTTAACTGCAATGTTGAACAAGAAGCGCGTGTTTACATTCCCCCGATAGGATTTTAATAACCCGCGCAAGGACTCGCAAACAGTTTCATCTATAAATGGCCTTGGAATCTAGCAGAAAGGTTTTGGCAGAATTGTATCTCTGAACAAAACTACAGGCTTAAAGGGGTAAAAATATCACGTCTAATAACCCATAAAAATAATTTCGGAAGTTGAAGTGATACCTTGCGTGACCCCTATCAGCTATACCCTACAGCTACGATCACATCATCACCAGATGCACAAAAAGTTTTTGAGGTTTGAGCAATACTACTGTTACCGTGCCCAAGGTCTTTAGTTGTTCCGACTGCGAAAACAACTACCAAACAGGTCGTGGATTAAGAAAACTTTTCCAAACCCACCCAAGCCACAAGCGCGAAGAAAACGTAGAAACCCACCCCTGCAAGCTGCTGCTGCAGCAAATAATTTCCTGGATGTCCCGCACCACCACCGCTCTGCGAGGCTAAAGGAACTTTTGAAACTTTTAACACCAGATGAATTTTCAACTGTGGTTTTGTGTAGTATTTCCAAACATGTGTCAACTTCCTCATTTCTGCTATCAAGAAGTAAACTTACACAAGGCTCAGTTTCCGAAAGCAAGTTGCGAGGAGAATTGGAAGTACTTGTTGCGATGATAGCAGAGTGTTACCCAGACTCGCTTCTTTATTCCTTGAAACAACAGTCAGTTTCTACCCTTTATTCCAAACCACAAGATGAAGGTATATTCCCGAATTATCACTCCAAGGAAAAACTTTTGACTCCAGCAAAATGCCGAGAATGGGCTCATTTTATTGACGATTTAAACATGCCTCAACATCAACAAGAAAAAGCTGAGCTGGTCGACTTTGTTATTTCACATAAGGATGGAGAGTTTTTTAAGAGGACACTCATGCCAGTCATTTTTAAGAAGAATTTCAATCATTTTGTCCAGTTTGCAGCCGAACTAGTAANTCTTTTAAAAGCTCCAATTAAAAGCACTCCGCTGAACCTACAAACAGCAAAGGAAAGCAGCAAAGGAACTTCCAGAGTGCATTTCGCTTCCACAGGGGGATAAAAAGTGCGCGACATAAGCGCACGGACATAAGCGCAACAAACTATGCGAAATCACTATCCAAAAGAATGCATGCATGCCAGAATAAAGCGATTACGTCATCGCTTAAAAATGAGTAGCTTTAGTTTGAAGAAAAATAAATTTCAGTCAATCGATCTGACCTGCTGGCGATCAACGTAACCACTGCGTTTGCGATTCTTAAATTCCTTGAATACGAGTTATTGAAAGGATTTTTGGTCCAAGGGCGACAGTAGTTATTTTGAAAATTCTCCATTCTTCCAAATATCCTGGACTTGGAGTGATGTCTTTCGAATAAATAAAAATTTCATTCAAGAACTGTCCGCGATGTTTACTTCCCGAGATGGCAAAGGTGGCGAGCTTAGTAACCAGGCCTCGAAAATGTTATATTCACCGCCAAGAGCGGTGAATACAGCGTCATATAAGGAATCGCTTGACCAATCAGATTGCTGGAAACTCTTTGTTCAGCTCTGGAATTATACTAACCTGCTGATCATCACCAACCTGCTGATTTCTACCGGAAGTTGCGGGGCATGCTGGGTTAAAAATTGGGGGAAACTAGCTCTAGTCTCCACTGTAAAAAACACGCGCGGAAAAAGTGGCGTCGATTTGTTTTCATTGTTTACTAGGTCGTCCGCCAGGAAAAAATAACCTTTTTTCCCTTACTGAAGCTTGAACTTTGGGTTATAAATAGACTTTCTTATAATTTTAAAATAGCGAAGTAGGCATACTACTCCCCAGCTTGGAGATAAATGTTATTTCGGACGAGTGAGCCAACGAATAAGGCTGAAATAACTATTTTGGCGGCACGAGATACAACAAGGGCCTGGGTTCCGGGCCGGGGCATCATGGGTAGGGATGTAGGGGTATATAAGACCGGATATAACACGTGGTTGTCATCTAGGCTTCAGAACCAACCGCGTTCTTTCGTTTCGTTTATTTTTTTCCTTTTTTTAGTTCTTTCTTTTGTAGGTACCATGCATCCAGTTTGGTAAGATCGGCTGTTCTAATTTCATTTTTGTAAAGCCTTCGTAGGATGGGCTTCTAATCGCTTGGAGCTTGAGCCTTGGTTCCTACCCAGATTTCCTGCACATTTTTTTCCTCTAAGGGTTTTTTTCTGGCCTCCGTTCAAACCGCATTTGCTTTGTTAGCGGTTGCTCAGCTCTACTAGTTTTATAAGACTTTAGTTCGTTTTCTTCTTGTTTTTTTTTTCTTTGCACTTTAGGCTTATATTGTATTTTATTTATATTGTACGTCGGAGTTGATGATCTCCAGCCTAACTGGCAGCCTGACTAGCACAAAGCTTGAGAGCTTATACGGGAATGTAGGCCAAGATGGCCTGTTTATATTGTAGTTTAAAGTAATGTCCGAGTTGATGTTCCCCCAGCCTAACTGGCAGCCTAACTGAAACAAAGCTTGTAATGAGAGCTTATTTGGGGAAGTACGCCAAGATGGCATGTTTATCTTATAGTCAAATGTAATGACGGAGCTGATGTCCCCCAGCCTAACTGGTACCAAGACTGATTGCTTATTCGGAGAAGTAGGCCATATATTTTGTGTATTAATTAAAGTGTTGTGGCTCACCAGCCCTACTGGCTCTAGCAAATGACCTGTACGTGTGGAGATAGCTTTATACTTGGTTGCTTTTCAACGATTTGTCATGTAAATTGTAAATTGTTTGTGTTATATAGTGTTCGGGTTGGTTCTCGCCGGGCCTTCCCAAAATAAACTTATTTGGTTCAGCGATGCTGCGTTGCTATTTGTTGTGGAGTGGAGACAAAATATTGTTTAAATCACCAGCTCTGACAGAAGTTCGTTCGCGGCCCGGCGTCCTTGTTTCTGAATATTTGTTTGTGTTTGAGACCGACTGAGGAACACAGATGCCTTACATTACTAATAAAATTTTAAAAATGGTAATGCTAACAATGTTGTTTTTGCTTGAGATAGTTAAATACAATGTCGAACAAGAAGGGCGTGTTTACATTTCCCCGAAATGATTTTAATAACCTGCGCGATGACTCGCAAACAGTTTCATCACTATTTGTTCTTGGAATCTGGCAGATAGATTTTGCAGAATTGTATCCCTGAACAAAACAAAAGGCCACAAAAATTCTTTGAGGTTTGAGCAATACTACTGTTACCATACCCGAGGTCTTTAGTTGTTCCGACTGCGAAAACAACTACCAAACAGGTCTTAGATTAAGAAAACATTTCCAAACACACCCAAGCCACAAGCGCGAAGAAAACGTAAGAACGCACCGCTGCAAGCTGCTGCTGCAGCAAATAATATCCTGGACGTCCCGCACCACCACCGCTCTGCGAGGCTAAAGGAACTTTTGAAATTTTAACATCTGATGAATTTTCAACTGTGGTTCAGTGTAGTATTTCCAGACATGTATCAACTTCCTCATTTCTGTTATCATAGCTAGTTGGTGGAGGGGACCGTGCTGTTATCAAGAAGCAAACTTACACAGGGCTCAGTTTCCGAAAGCAAGTTGCGAGGAGAATTGGAAGTACTTGTTGCGATGGTGGCCGAGTGTTACCCAGACTCGCTTCTTTATTCCTTAAAACAACAATCAGTCAAACCACAAGATGAAAGTATATGCCCGAGTTATCACACCAAGGAAAAAATTTTTACTCCAGCAAAATGCAGAGAATGGGTTCATTTTATTGACGATTTAAACATGCCTCAAGATCAACACGAAAAAGTTGAGCTGGTCGACTTTGATCTTTTAACTAAGGATGTAGAGTTTTTTAAGAGCACATTCATGCCAGTCATTTTTTAAGAAGAATTTCAAACATTTTGTCCAGTTTGCAGCTGAACTAGTACGTAATTTTGACACTGG